CCAGCGCCCTCCCCAGCAGCCTGGCAGCCAGCGTCCAGCTTCTCTCCTCCATCGGAGAAAGTCGGGCTTCCGCCATTAGTACGTGGCACGGTGTTGAGCGCGGACACAGGTGATGATGCGGCCGCCTCTCGCAGTCCTCGCTCCAGGAGATTCACGTGCGAGGGGGCGGCCGCCGGCAGCCACGCGACGGCAGCGTGTTCGAGCGCCCCTCGGACGTAACCGATTGGTCACCGTACTAAGGGCACCCTCGTCCAGGCCTCAGCTATTCAACCAGGTCGACGGCGCCGTAGCCGTCAGAAGCTGGTGATCACTCGAGCCACGCCACAGAGCTCACGCCTCAACGCGCCTGGCTCTCCGGTCCTCGGCATCCGGCATCCGCAGTGATTTGGCGTAGCCAGGACACGTGAGATGCTGGCCTCAGTCATAACCGGAAAGCCTGTAAAAAAAAAAAAACAATATGTGATTGACAAATGGAAATATATTGTATGCATAGAGTTGAGAAATCATGACGCACACTGCATTGTGACAGTAGATAGTTTAGTGTGATTGGCAGAGGAGGGACTTATTGTAAGAAAACAATAAACAATTGAGGCATTGATTTGGTTTTGTAGGTAGCTACCTACCCTTCTCATATGAATCTGGATGATTTGTACCATTAAGAGAAAACCATAGGCGTAAGAGCGGGGGGGGGGGATGTGCCCACTTTTCAGCTATGCTTATTTTTAAAGTAAAATATTTATTTTTCATTTAAATTCAAAACTAAGAGCAAGAAATGGTTCGGCAAGGTGAGATGAGCACGAAACTGCAAAGAATTTGTTCATAGGGGTATTGGGGTCGACATTGAAGTGACACAAAGTGACATTGAAGTTCTCTGCCCCCCCCCCCACACACACACTTTACGTGAGGTTCCTGCGCCCATGGAAAAAAACACATTGCATTATGTGCATCAACACTTGACCCTTCACCCTTGCACTTAGAGAGGGCCACAAAGCCCACTATAAAGCCCACAAGACATCACCTGAAATCAAAGCATGACAAATGATAGCATGTAGCTGGCACCTGACCTACTATAACCTACTGAACAAAACATACCTACCCCATTTATCAATATGTATGTGTAGATAAAGTATGACTGGTAGGTTGATACCAAGGCTGTTTAGTAGGTCGTAGGTATGCTGTAAGGATGAAAGATGGGTATTTGTTAAAAAAAATATCTGATCTACAGTTCATATGAATATGCAACATGGGGTTAGGTAAGGTTTGATTTTTGTTTTGTATTTGAATCACATGTAAATATCATATCTGGATTCAAGATGTCAAATAGTGTAAAAATGTACAAAATGTATGCCTGAAAAGTGAATCAGACTCTTTCTGAACATTTACCAAAAGTTGTAGGTTAGCACGCAAGGTTAGGCTAGGGTAGATTATGTTTTTTATCTTCACCATAGTTTATCTACACAGTAACCAACAAACCCTCGTCCAGACATAGGTAGGCATTGCAAATTGTCAAAAAGTTAATATTTTTCTGCTCATCAGCATTTGACGGTTGACCAAAATAAGGGTTCTAGCGTGTCTGGTTATTTCAGGTAATGTTAGGTTATATGTAGGTCTGGTTACAACTTAAACAAGCTCTAAGACATATATACGGGCTTCATCTGAGATTAATATTGAGCTAGGGGTCTGGGTACCCACCTTCCTGTCAGGCCATGATACTTGACACACCATCCTGCTATCTGAGGCGGCCCAGGAACCAGCTCAAGCAATTACAATGAAAGTCAGCAGTCGTGCGGGCAGTACACCACTCCCCATTCAAATATGATATCAAGCAATTAGTTAATGACGATAATCCCGTCGGCACAAATCTTATAAAACACATTGACCGGTTCAGGTTAGGGCCTTGCATTGACCTTTAATATTGATATTCCGAAAAGAAATATCAATTATGATTTGAAGCGAACGTGTTCTTACGCAGCTGTGACATAAGCTGCGCACGCAAAAAACACCCGTTAGACCAATTGATGGCGTATAAACCTGTTGATGAAGAAATACTTGTCTCCCATTGGTCCGTGAACACAATCTGCAGGAAACGCAGCTTAAACTACGGTAAAATGTTGCAGGAAAATCTGCAGAAAGTAAGAAAATGCAATTTAAACATATTTAGCCAATGAGTCTGGCCAGTCTGTTGATAAATTCCGATAGATATTGAGCCCGATCAGTCATTTTGAAAGAATTACGGTCCGACTCTCTTTATTTTTAAAGCAATGACGCATAAAAGAATTATTGAAAAATTGACAAATATATTTTCTTGGAGGAAAAAGTGGGACTAGAGTTGAATTAAAAATCAAAATTAATAAACTGATCGAGACCTCGCTTCCAAAAGTATTTATCAGTGCATTTTCGCATCGAATCTCTCTAAATCATGAACAAACTTGGGCAAAAACAGCAAGATTGCCTGTTTTGTCAATTCACACATTTTCATATTTGGGGGCAATTTTAAAGTTGATGGCCAATGTTTTCAAAGTCAACATTTCCACAGGAAAAAGTACAACTATTTTTCTTCCAAATTCATTCATTTGTAGAGTCCGACTCTCTCTTGTTTTCTCGCAGTTTCCGTTGTGCTCTGAGAGAAACGATCATGTGTATCATAATCGTTTGGTTCACTTCAAGACTGCAGAATTTGCACTTGCATTTTCTGCCGTGTGGAAGATCAGAGGGAGTCAGCTAATTTATGACAGAATGTGCTTAAAAAATGACTGGTGAATAATATCTTTTATTAGTGTCTGACAAATATTTATATTTTAAATCACGCTCTTCAGCTGTCAAGTGAGTTCCAAATGGCCTAAATTGTCAGCTGTTTATCATCCTAGGTCAGCTCAAGGTCACAGACGTCAGCTGAAGAAAGTGGTGACCATTGGCCCTGTGTTGAGCGGACAAACCGGTGTTACCTAGTATTCTATGTACCGTGAGCACACTGGGCACAAAACAACGCCCTCTACTCGGCCCGCACAAGGGTCACGCTCGGTCACGTGACCGCGGCCAGCTGCCACATCGGCACTCGCCCGACTCAGCTAGAGGTGCCAGTTTAACTGCTGACGTGTGGCATCAAAGGAAGGGTGGGGGATAAAATGCGAACCGCGGGCGCCATTAACAGGCACTCTTACATATCCATGAAAATGCGTTATAGCTTTCACATGATAAGACAATTTTATCATAAATCTAAAGTAAATCTATAAAAAAGCAAAACAACCGTTGTCTAAATTGATCGTAAAATGTCAAAGTCAAATGCAGTAGTTCTTCATTTACAGCTGACCATTGTCGAAATTCTAAGCCACTGTCGAAATTTGACGCAACAGATCGAATATGAAACGGTGATATTTAAAATTGATGAAATAATTCGAAATGTGTGAGGTATGTCAAAATGGAGGTAGCTCTGTCGATATTGAATGCAAAGTGTCGAAATTGAATGACTATGCCGATTTGTAGTGCAAAAAGGTGTAGAATCAGCGCACACAGATGTCGTGATTTACATGTATATGCATTATGCATAGATGTCGCAGCGATAGCGACACATGCAGTACAAATGGTAGCAGACAGCAGTAGTTTCCCCTACCAAAGTGGTGGTTTTCTACCACAGACGCTCGTCAAGGTCGGAAATTCCAAATACGCTGGGTGACCATCAGCACGGAACAACGAAGCATGATAAGGATTCAGATGGATAAGGATGCAGGTGGAGTAAGAGTGAATTAACCACCCGTGCTGTAGGCAAAACTTATTTACATAAGGTTCTGAACAGCATGATTAGGAGTGACTGGGACGACCAGCATCCAGCAGGTCTTTTTTCTTTATTTTTCATAAACTGCCTAATTAACGATTTTTAAATAAGCAATGTCTAAATCAAATGAGTGATGTCGATTTTAATTGTAAAATGACGAGATTGAATGTCTCGTGTTTAAATCCATGTCCATCGTCTAAATACGTAAGGCCTTGTCGAAATTGAATGCCCCTTGCCGAAATGATGACGAATATCGATGTGGTGTGCCCGATGTCAAAGTAGAGCCCATATGACGAAATAAAATGCCCCTATTCGAAGCAAATGCGAGATCGCTAAAATTGAATGCAGTTCGCCGAAATTGAATGAAAAGATGCCTATTTGAGGTGCAAAAAGGTGTATATTTAACACTGCTACAATTGTCCCATGTTACGTTTGACCCCGCTCTCGCCTATTCGTGTTCAAAAGTCGTGTGCAGTGAAAAGGTAGCGAAAAAAAAAAACGTTGATTAATTGGCTGCCACCTCCCAAAAACTAAAAAAAAAAAATCACACAGCCGTATTATGACATGATCCGTAGGAATTTCGGTCTTCCTTTTGTGTCCTCGAAAAACAGTTATCGAAGAACCGCCCCACTACATGTTCGTTTCCTAGTTAATAACTAAGAAACGCATTACTAGTAGTTATGCGCCGCTTTGTCAAAAACTGTCTATACGGCAAAGTGTTACCTTCGATGACCTCTAGTGGCATGACCTTTGACCCGACCTAAAATTGACCAAAGTATGTTCGTGATTATGTTTATGCTCTTTTGAGCACCAACTAACGCTTATCTCTGCATGGCCCAGGTGCTGGAGTGTGGCCAAAACACACCTACCCACCACAGCGGTGACCAGAAGCCCGACCTCACACTGCAAACACCGTGGCGACCCCCTGGTCACAGCAACTTATTGCCAACAATATTTCATCTAGCTTTCTGATAATTGCAGTACCTAAATCTGTGTCAGCTATTCGTTTTTTTTTTTTTAGTGTCTGTAGTCTGTACCACAAAATATGGTTTTGTTGTGTCACTTTAAAAAAGCAAAGTTCTGTTAGTATGCGAAAAATTTATTCCTTGAACTTATATCACCAAACTAGCTTTCGTGACAGTGTTGGGTATCCGGTGCGATGGCACAGACTGGCGGGTGCTGCCCGAACGGCGTCGTCTCGGAGCCGTGTCCGGGCGTGCACTGTCGCTCAGCACAGCGAGTGGCATTGGGCCGGGTGCAGCAGACCCTGCATCATACAGCGCCGCAGGCAGCTGGGACTCTTCTTCTTGGCGCGCGTCTGGAGCGTCGAGCAGAGAGCGCTGCAGCCGGCCCGGGAGGCGCAGCGGCGCACACAGCTGGCCGCGCCGCCGGCTGCAACACGGCGCGCACTGTTAGATAGCCGGCCACACAGAGCACCGTTCTATCTTTAACTGGTGGAAGGAAGAGGGGGGGGGGGGTAGTGACTATTTCCCCCTGCCCAGGATAGGAGGAGAAGGGGGGCTAGTGACTATTTCCTCCTGCCCAGGATGGATTTTCTGCTCTCCACAAAACCCCCTAAACCCGGCCGGGCGCGGGGGGTAATCCCGACCACCGCATCCGGGGAGCGGGCGGGCGTTTTTTCGCCCCCCCCCCCCTGTCTGACTCAGTTAATAAGGGAGCCACGAAAACAATAACGACATCAAACAAAAAGTCCTTACAAGACGATTCTTAGGCACCAACATTTTTGACCTCAGGTCAATTTTCAAGGTCAGAGGTCAAGGTCAAAGGCAAAAACCGGCACATGTGTACCTAGTGATCCAAAGTAAGCGTTCTTGAGGACGGCAGGATGCCTAAAACCGGCAAAATTGGGTGTCAAACAAAAGAAGAGAATCTGAGGATTCCGAAAAGGTGCTCAAAATCAAAGCTCAAGGCCTATGTCATCCTCAAAATTGACCTCAAATTTTGCACCTTTTCGTACATCTTGCGTGTTAACTTCCAAGTTGTTTTGAAATGTTTTGAGGCTTATCAGGTGCCAATTTGTGGTTCATCTTACGATACAAGGCTGGTTAAAGGTCAAGGTCACAGAAGAGTATCCTTGCTAGAGGCTATTTCACTGATTCAAGTTAGTGATAGTAAATAAGACAATTTTGCAATTTGGAGGCTCTAAATGAAGGCTTAGAGGAAAATAGACGCCAGCTTCGTGATCAGCGGATACGAATCCATCATAAACGACATTTCATGTGTCAAGGTCAACCAAAGGTCATTCGAGGTCACATGGGGTAAACATAAAACTTGACCTTTTTCAAAAACGTACAACAAGAAAACTTTTTCCTAACAAAATGGCATATTTTGACCTTTTCCAAACAAAATATATCTCATTCCACGCGGCTTGACAAGGCAAATGCGATGGTACCACTGCCTTAGCTCTAGGAAAATTTTTGTCGAAGTTATTTGCGAGAAAACTATAACCAGAGCTCGGAGTCGTTGACCTGACCTCTCAGGTTACCAAAACTAGTTTTTATATTTTGATCTAGGTCAAACGCTACACAACTGTGCTCGTAATTTGTCTTTATCTCTAAAACTCTATTTTTAGCAGCTATTTGAAGTTCGCGTCTGTGACGCCGAAGTTTGCCGTGAAGGGGTCTAGAGAAATCGACCCTGTGACGTCATCAATGTAGCTAGGTCCAATTTTTTTATTTCAGATGATGTCAAATTGATGGGAGAAAAGGTACTGAAAGTTTTGCTTTCCTAACCCGCGTTCGGGAGCTATCGGAAATATTCGCCAGAGAGGGGGGGGAAACGCCCCCCGAGCCCGCGAGGGGTAAGGTAGCATTTCAAAATTTGGCGACTTCTCTTAACCGCGCATGACTGGGGAATTTTCCACAACGCGCTCCGAAAGTACTGGGCCGATCGCCAAAATTCAAACGGTGTCTGATAGTTGTTCGGTATTGTTAGACATATTTGTAAAATCTGATGGCCAATAGTTGCAAACCAAAATGATAATTAAAATCTAAATCTTTTTTTTTGTATTTTAGACGTTTCGACAACAATGTGCCATCGTCAGTAATTGACATGGGCGTAGGAACTGCTGGAACATTGTGGGTGCATGGGTGCAGAAATCCAGCCATGGCTGGTGAAGCGGGGGGGGGGGGGGGGGTAGGTAGCGTCACCCGAGCGAAGGCTCGTTACGAGCTTTGCTTTGAGGGGGACTGTATACCATGTCGAAATGGTACCGACCGATAAGTGCATTTGGAAGCATTAATTCCCTCGCATGTGTAGGGGTTCGGACGAGCCCCCCATGGTTTTTCGCAAATAGCTCGCGCCAAAACCGGCCCACCGCGACGAAACTTTAAGTACCCTCGAGTTGATCAGGTTTACACCTACTCTGAAAATTTCATGACCAAAAGACCTTTGACCTGTGACCTGATTCTGGAGACCATGTTCGGCCGGACTCGCGATTTGGCCTATGTCAGCTCACATTATCCGCGCGTTTCCAGTCTTTTTGTGATTGTAGACGTCCAAACATGTGAAATTATGTTCGTCCCATGCATTACGGTGGGTGTGAAGGTCACCTGAAGGTCAGGTCATGTCATTGACCTTTGATGACCTCGGTTCACTTTTTCGAGTATTGCATGTTTCTTGGGTAGTTTTTCGGGCTGATTTCGAATTTAGCATCCATTTGAACGTTTACGAAGTAGTTTTAGTGCCTTCGTAACATGCTACGACGCCGTCAGTGGTAGTTGACAACTACTTTGGATAGCCGGTAGGACGCCTAATGGTTGACCTGACCTGACCTGACCCGATCTGGCCTAAATGCATGAAGAAATCATCTGTCATCAAAACTAACATGATATTCGTGATCAGCACCCCGAAAAACCCGTTAACAGCTTCACTTTACGCAGTTCTAGAAGGTCCCGATCTTCCCGACTTTTGGAACATTGACCTGACCTGGAAGGTCAACCAATGACCTAGGACCTTAAAATTGGGTATCATCGGCTTCCTCTCGTCACGGGCAACATCCTCGTTTTTTCCACGAAGCTCTAGCTCGATCACCCCCTGCCCTCCCTCCCTCTACAGATTAGAAGATGGAATACGCCGCACAATTGCAAGGGTTAATATTGTCAATATTGACTACCGCAAAAAGTAAAAGCCGCCAACTTAGCCATTTTCGAAGATATCGGGCTAAAAATTTTGACAGTGGGTTATCGGCTCGGTATGTGTTCAATCACATGCTCCATTTCCTTTTTTTCTTCAGCACAAATGTAAGTTTTGAAGACCATCACAAAAGCAAATGCTTCGAAAGATGGATAGTGGGCAACATATCCTGAATTTGCCGTGCTGCATGGAAAGTAGTGTTGATGAGAAAAGGGGTTTTTGGTTCAGATTATTGTGGGTGCAGAATACATTGTCTGCACCCACTGGAGAAATATTGTGGGTGCAGCTGCACCCTTGCACCCATGGTTCCTACGCTTATGGTAATTGAGCCAAAATATACCTGAAGTCACAAATCACATTTTGAAATAACATCCACTAATAAATCACTCATGGGCCCAATCTTATAAACGCCGTGAAATGGATATGGCAGCACTCTAAGGCTGGATATAGTACGCAATCTTATAAAGCTCTGTGAAATCGAAAACACGGCACGCTCTTTACGGTTTTGGTAACCGCCAGTTTTGGATGTGCCGTAGAATGATTTCAGCCGTCAGCAGCTGTGCACATCTCAAAACACAAACAATAATCAGCTGATTGCGGCATTGTCGGCACCTATTTCACGCCAGAATTTGTGGCGTACTTTGACGAGCTTCTCAGACAGTTTAATTCATTTAAGATAAATTCAATGTTTTTATGATATAAGTATGCAATATTTTACGTTATGATATTTTTAAGATTAAAACACCCTTCACATATTAACTCATGGTTTATTATAATGATGCTTATTATACAGACAACGATCAATTTCAAAATATGTATTTTCAGGCACTAAATGCACACTAAAACACATAAAAACGAGTGTTTATCGTTATATGGATTTATTTTTCAAATTAAAAGGGGATTTTAAGAGGATTTTAGCACCAGTAACCATCATAGATTTTCGGCAGCCACTGAATTATAGAATCGGTATGGGTCTTTAGCCTATTCTCACGTCTCACGTATGACACAAATAACGGGCACTTCATGGCTTCTGATAAGATATTTAAATTAATGATGATATACCTTAGTTTGTCAAAAAATTGTTAATTCCTACTCACTATTCGTATCTCCTCACTTTCTGTCTGGCACAGTTACGGATCAATGTGTTGTTTCTCTTCCTGCATCTCGATCTGACTTCTGAGCCGAGTATTTTTCTTGATATGCTTTGATATGTAGACTGGGTTCTTCAATCTTTTGAGGAATTGCTTTTTAGCTTTTGGTTAGGTGACAGGTACCTATGCTTGAATAAGAAGGAAAATAAGCTGTAACTTGACCTAATTCAGTTCATGTACGTAGTCTTCGAATTTTAGTAGTTTATCTTCAAGAAGGTAAATGTCAAGAGCTTATGACAAGAAGGAAAATAAGCTATATCTTGAATTGATCCAGTTAATGTACGTACGTATCCTGATGCTCAAATTATAGGAGCTTCATTGTCAACGGCAATTACTGAAACAGTAGCCGAGCTATAATTAAATGACTATTTAAATAATTCTTTAACAAATTTATTGCAATGCCTTAACAGCAAATAAATGCAAATGATAAGTAGAAGAAACACTTTATTCACTCGAATTTCTGAGCGCGAGAATGCCCTCGCTAAAATTTATTTGGTCGGCAATCCACTTTTCAGGAGAATTCGTCAAGCATGTTTGTGTTTTCCATAGTTTGCTATCACGTTTTCCATAAATAACTTATTCATTACACATATGTGTGTCTCTAAAAGAAATAAATGCCCCATAAAAATTAAAACACATAACTTTTGCTGTTCGCAAACAGTACGCATAATTTCCAATAGCGACGGCGACAAGACATTGACCAATCACGTTGCGTGTTCCCTGCTGGCGTTGATTTGTACTGTGGGCAAAATGGCGTGAATAGAATTACCATACTATTCTCTTTATAAGATTGCGTGAATAGGGTGCCGTAAATAGAGTGGGGTGGAATGATAGTACGCCATTTGGTAGCACAACCTTTATAAGATTGGGCCATGGTAATGACATTTCGATATTTTACATTCGATCACGTTCGTTCCCCACAATGGTGCTACGTTTCAGCAAGGATAATCTAGCTGTCGCTACTGCCATCGAATAAAATCCCCCTCTTGTGTTAGGTGTGTTCTTGGGTTTGATGTGTGCAGCCTCTAGTGCCCTCCTGATATTTTTGTTAATACCTTTCTCTAAAATTTCAGCCCCTTCCCACCT